AGATCTGAAAAGAAAACAGTGCAACTACTTATCCACCTTCTGAAGTATATTCTGCACATGTTTAGTAACGATATTTGCAACGATCTCAGGAGAGAACCTTGTGATCATGTCTTCCCTTGCCTTTTCCCCTTTCACCTTGGCTTCCTCGACATTGTTCATCACATGCCTCATGAGCACACGAAGCTTACTAACAGAAGGTTCTGCCCAGCGATGTCCTGTGAAAGGCCCTTCCATTATGTCGCTCATTCTATCCACCGGTAATGGATAGCTATTCTCCTCAGTCAGATACTCTGTTGGCCCTGACCAATTCGTAGCAATCACGGGCAATGACATTGCCATAGCTTCAACAAGAGGCCTTCCCCACCCTTCCCCTCTTGATGGAAGAACAAATGCATCAGCTGCCTTGTATACCCGTGGCAAATCAATCTGTGCTATGTGAGTATCAATCACATAAACTGGAGCCCAACCAGTGACTGGTTTCTGCATTCCAGATTTTTCCACAAACTCCACTATCTTATTCCCAAAATCTCTATCAGAGTGATAAGGATTTGTTAGAAGATACAAGGCAACCCCATCTGCCTCACTGAATTCTTCCAAATAAGATTTCAACAACACATCCCATCCTTTCCTATACTCCCACTTAAATATACTCATAAATACAAATTTCTTCTTCACTTTCGAATTCTGGGTTGTCTTCCCCATAACCAACTTCCCTATAGAGGCAAGATTTAAAGGCTCATACTCAAGTGGATCAAAGAACTTCACATCAATAGGCTGCACAATTTTCACAACCTTAGATGTATCAACCCCACTTTGTATAAATGTAGACACATGAAACTCGGTAGGAACCCAAACATAATCCATTTGGTTGCAGCGCTTCACATGTTCCGGATTCACCCTATCTGTCTCAAACATGGTCCGGCCAATCACCGACTTGAAATTTTGGTAAGCAGTTGGTGGGCAAGGGAGTGTTTCAAACAATGGAGGGTTCCAAGCACCAGGCTCACTGTGGCATATGACTATGGTCTCCTTCATACTACATTGTGTGTGGTAAAGCTCAACTGCCAAGTTCTTCATATATTTAGGCAAGCCCTCCCAGAATTCTAGGGACTCCAGATCACCATGTTGCTCAATAGCTATTCTAAAGTCTGGGTTTTTACTGTGTTCATAAAGGGCTAAAATATATGACCAGCTTTCTGAACTGTACCCACCACCTGAAAGGAAAGGAGCCATCCACAGAACACAGTAGGGGGGCTTGGAAATGGGATTTGGTACCTGGGTTTGCTTGGTTTTTTGTTTTGGTTGAAGAAAGCCAAACAGAGCTTGAAAAATGGCGGGCTGTGATGAGAATGTGTACTTCAGCTGCTTGGTTTTGAGGTAGTTTGTTTTGGTCAAACTGAATGAGATAGCAAGGATGAGAATTAGGAGGGATGATAAGTAGAATGCATAGGGTTTCAATTTTGATGTGAAGGGGAGAGTTGAATTGGGTTGTGGTTGGTTTTCAATGGGTTGTTGGTTTTCATGTGAATCCATGACAGAGGGATGAGAGAAATAACAGTGTAGGTGTGCAAAACCAGAAACAACACTCAGAAGGCTTGTGTCAATGAAACTATGGCAGAGAGGCACAGAAACTGAAAGAGCGATGCTGTGCAGAGGCACAGACGGTGAGCAACTAAAATACAACAACAGAGAGCAGCCGCCATGATCATCCCTGCAACAGGAGAAGCAGCAAGCAGACAACCAACCAGGGCCAAAACAAAACAACAAACTTCCATCCCAACACAACAAACAACAACCCCAAAAAGCCTTAAAATTGGAAAAACGTAAAACCAAGAAAACCCCAATAGCGAACTCCACTGCGACACACTTCGCTCCCATCGAACCCAAACTCGCATCCAAGGGAACAGCAGCCATGCATCAGACGAAACCGAAGGCCAAAACCAGCCCAAAGCCAGCAGAACCAACAAGAACCAATTCGTGGAAGGTGGTGGTGCGAGCACCCAAGTTGAAACTCTACCAATCTTCCAAATAAGACGCGAACACGCGTGTAGAGGATGAATAGCTGCAAGCTTGGATTGAGGTGGGAACAAGTGAGGAAGGAGAGGAGTAGAGCAAGTGATATGGGTGAGAGTGGGGGGGATATGGGGGATGAGGACCAAGGGGGTGAAAGAGGGTGAAAAACCAATAAAAAGGTTGGAGATTGATGTGAGATCTAGGGTTAAAAGGGGTTGGAGAGGAAGGGGAAAGCAAAAACAACATAACTGAAAGGGCATAAAGCCCTGAACAACTGAGACAGAGCTCAGAGAAACACCCATTAAGGGTGGGAAATTGCCACCAACTCTCAAAACTGGGAGAGAAGCAGAGCACAAGGAAATTGCCACCGACTCTCAAAACTGGGAGAGAAACACCCATATAGTCGGTAAACTACGAAAAAATTGTACGTACGTGTAAAGAGGCAACGCATTAAGTTTTTTTTTTTTTCCCAAAAAATATATTGAGAAAATTTTAAAATTGTCACTTGAACTTATATTTTCAATTTGTCACCTTTATAAAAAAAAACCGAGCGATTTTCCCCAGGAATCATACAAAACTGGTCAATCCAACCCAACCTCGTATTTCTAGCAATTTCATCTATGAGTGGTCATTGAAACCGAAAAACTGTTGAAGCGGCCCAAATTGAGTTGGAAAAAAACCGAGAGTAATTGTGTTGACTTAAATAGTCAACTAAGATTAAAAAATCGAACTGGTTTCGGTCATTGAACATAACTGAAAGGGCATAAAGCCCTGAACAACTGAGACAGAGCTCAGAGAAACACCCATTAAGGGTGGGAAATTGCCACCAACTCTCAAAACTGGGAGAGAAGCAGAGCACAAGGAAATTGCCACCGACTCTCAAAACTGGGAGAGAAACACCCATATAGTCGGTAAACTACGAAAAAATTGTACGTACGTGTAAAGAGGCAACGCATTAAGTTTTTTTTTTTTCCCAAAAAATATATTGAGAAAATTTTAAAATTGTCACTTGAACTTATATTTTCAATTTGTCACCTTTAAAAAAAAAACCGAGCGATTTTCCCCAGGAATCATACAAAACTGGTCACCACAAGTTTCCGACTCCGGTCCTATACAATTTTGAAGATCTTAAACAAAAGGTGTGTTCTCGATGATGCATGTGTCCTTTGTTACAGGGTTTTGATAAGGCTCAATTCTAGCCCCATTTGGCAAGCCACAATTTGGCTCCAAAGATCACATGTCAGCTTGATTCAATCTCATTTAGTTCCAACCAGGAAATCTCAAAACTCATAATTGATATAATTAACTCCTGACCACTGTAATTAATAATTTCCTATTAGATAGTGTTGATGCTTTTTTTGGGAGGGTCAACTTAGGTAAATGAGTGTTGGATCTTTAGCAGGGAGAGAATGTTGTGGACCTTCGGCACAGAGGGTTCCTACATAAGGAAACGAGAGATAAGCAATCGTCAAGCTTCGGGCACCGGTGTGGTACCTGTCGAAGGCTCTCCGATGCTTAAGTCAGCTATATGTGGTAATTTTGGCTGAGTAACAATAAATGTGAAAAAATAGTTACCCCTTTTACTCGAGTATTGTTCCCTATTTATAGGGAAGTGAGAATGAGAGTTTTGCACAAAGTTTTGATGTGGGACTTTGTGAAAACTGTTGTGGAGGTGACACATGTCCATGGTTCTAGTTTTTGTAGTTGGGAGCTTCGGCAGGTGGTTGCCACTTCGGAAGGGGGGCCTTCCTTTGGTAGGTTAAGAAGGTGATGATGTCATTCGTCTTCTAAAGGTTTATCTGTGTGTCTTTTTGGAGTATTTCTTTCCTTTGGCAACTGGCGTATTTGCTCAGGTACCAGTTGTCTAAAGCCGAATATGCTTGGTTGATTATGGTGTAAACAGTAGTCCCCCAAGTTGCCAATCAAGGAGTGGCTTCTAGGTTGGGAACTTGTAAGATGTTCAGTAATTAAATCGAGCTTTCAGTATGATGGGTAATTTAGGCAGTCCCCTAGTCCCCCAAATTATGAAGCTAGAAGGCACGTTTGTTGGGAGGGGGTCCTCAAAAGGGCGTTCTTGTGAAACTGACACCGGGGGAGACAAAGGAAAACTTCTAATTATATATATACATTTTTTTTTTTTTTT